TGCACGAAGATCGAGCTGTCAAGATTTTTGCCTTCAGAATCTCTCCAAAAGAAAAAAAGGTCCAGCAGTTGTCAAGACAAACCAGCTGCACGCCGTATTTTTATGGTTCACAAATAATTAGTGGACACATAAAACAACTTCGTATAGGACGTAACAACCTTGCAGTGAGTGAGGCTGCCGTGCCCTGCAAACATAAAATCTAATCAGGTTTTGAAAATGAGATTAGAGGCTTGACTTTACATATGTGATTTGATTATTTCAACAGAAGTGCTAGATGTGGTGACAGAGGATAACTCAGTTAATGGCAGCTCCCCTTCAAGAATATGCTTATCAACGGGCACAGTGGATGTTGATTAATCTTAGGCCCACGACAACTGTTAAATAAATAATCAATTTGATTTTTGTCTGACGAAATCACAACTGATTACAAACAATATGCCAACTGAGTAAAGTCATATTTTTACTGTCATTCATTTAGTTGTTTATGACAGCGAGGACAGACCACATGTTCCAGATGAAATGAATGAATGTAGTGAATATAGCTAGCTAGCTAGCTAGCTAGGTAGTTGGTAGGTAGGTAGCTAGCTAGGTTGGTCGGCCATTTGGGCTCCTGTGCAAAATCAGCTGAGATAGACTCCAGTTTACTCATGACCCTGAACAGGTTAAGAGGAAGAAAATGCATGTATGCAGTCAACAAACAGTGGTCAGCAAATGGCCACACAATACATTTATGCAAATCAGATTGTGTGACAACATTACATGTGTTAACATTTTGAAAACAGAGGATGAGAGCCGTTGTGTCTTGTCCTTTGCGTAATGTGTCTGAAAGAAGTCCTTTGGGCCTGTCTTTCACTGTCATCTTATATTAAAGCCTGAAGGAAACCCCCAGGAGACAAAGGCAGCGAAAGCGCCACGGAGAAGGTAATGTACAGGAGTAAACAAAGACACAACCAGCTAGGATGCGAGAGATTTATAACAGACTGAAGCAAGTAGTGCGTAGTTGAGTAGCATTAAGAGTTAAAATGCTTTTACATATAAACATATCTCTTCGTGAATCAATAGTAAAGGAATCAGTATTTTTTTGAAATAATATTAAAGCCTCCACTGTTTTGAGACAAATATCTTCATAGCAAATCCTATTACAATGCTATCTGCGAGCACGTGGCTCCATTTTAGGAGTAAAATAGTCTTCATACTGGCTCAGGTGATACTTTGGAATCTATCAAGCAACTGAAGGATGAACTCAAAGAGAAATTGGCAGTCATGTGTGGTGGCGTTTCCAGATGGGTGGAAGAGCCCCGAAAACGTACTATTTTCTTGGTGGTGGGTGTAAATATATACACAACCTTTAGACTACATCAAACTAAAAACACTGATAAATTAATGTTGAATTCGATTTTTGTTTAATGAATTTACTCACTCGACTGGTAACAAAATAAAATTGAGGAACTTCAACAAACCATTTTTTTTCAGTGCAGTCACGGCAATACATTCTGTCAACTGTGGCCACCGCCACAGATTTACCATGCTCAATTAGCAGGAAAAGCCGCTGACAACGGTCAACTTGTGCCAATGTCAAGGACACACCGCAAAGGTTTTGGTGTCAATGGCTGACACACACACACACACACACACACACACACACACACACACACACACACACACACACACACACACACACACACAGGTCGACATGCAGGGACATTTGGCAGGCAAAATGCATCGATGACCACATGTACTGTCACTTGCTCTTGTGTTGCAAAAATCAATTTAACATTCTCAACTTCCTTGACAACCAACCAAAAATAACATCTATTAAAAGATAAGATGTTCATGAGCATTGCCGTGGCAACCAGTCACAAAAGATTGCATTTCTTTTGTGTGTGTGTGTGTGTGTGTGTGTGTGTGTGTGTGTGTGTGTGTGTGTGTATTCAAGGTCACTTATCCTCACTTCATAGAAACACTTTCTGACACCTGTTGAACGTTATGTGAAACGTTAATTCTCATTTGCTCTGTGTTTGCTTTCCTTCAGTTCTTTTTGGTCTTTTATTCCACTAAGCTGCTTGTAGCTACTGACTGCATCTGTTTTAATTGTCTGCTAACATCGGAAACGACAGGCGGACTCACCATAAGGCAAACACAGGCAAATGCCTGGACACTTGAGATTTCCAGTGAAAATGGATTCATATAATTATCTTCAATTTTCTGAAAGCAGTTATTATTATTTAGATCTTGATTCACGCATATAAAATACTAAGATCTTGATTAATGTTCAATAACAATCAAAGCGTCGAGAGGATTCGGTATTTGGTTCTCTCGCTCAGGAAAGGGGAAGCTTTTTGTCAAATTGACACCTTTTAGTTGATGATAAACATCAACGCTCAAAATCTTTGCAGTACATGGATGTGGTGGGCCCCATGGGTTTGTCTCGAGCCCATCAAAATACTAAACACACCTCTGCTTGAAAGCTTTAAAAAGCCAGCCAGCAAGCGGGGAGCGGCGGAGTCGGGTGTTCATGCTCTGCAATGCTGCTCACGTTATTGTCAGAGACTGCAACGGTAACCCTGACTAACATCTGTGAGAGTACCTCATGTCATGCATGTGCATCCCTGTTGGTTGGGCTCCCCGAGGTGCTTATTTGGTACACTTTCTGCTTTGCTGCACCTCCTCCTCATCATGTCTGCTACATCTGCCAGGATATCAGTGGAGGCTTTGTGAAATGTTTTGTTTTTGTACATACACAAGCTGGTTTTTTTTTTTTTTTTTAGCTCACAAAAATTTACATTGTTTTCACTCATTCCACTGTTGTTTTTTTACTTTTTCTTCTTGCATCGGAGAGGCCAATTAGGGAATCTGATGCCTCATAACATTTCTGTGCGTACATGGCAGCTTGCAAATAATGACAGCTATGTTGTAAACATGGCTTTTTTATTTTTTAACAAGATACAACATGTACAGCATCAAATTAACAGACGCAGAACACTCCGAAAAATGAACCATAAGATAATTTATGTTTAAGTAAATATCTATTTAATTTTATTTCAATCATACGATTTTTTTGTTGTTTCGATTTGTTAAAATCAGTGTTAGTCTTAGAATTTCAAAAGTAGTCTATTTGAATCAGTTAAAATGTACAAATATAGTATAAATATCATAGGCTGTGGATAAACCAAGATTCATTTCATTAAATCTTATTAAATTGCCTCCCATTATGTTCAGATAAATATGAAAATATTTCCTGTGGTAAATTAATCGGGTTGTCATTATTTGAAATGAACAAGAAGGACTTTCCCAGGATGCCTAGTAGCATTTGTAAATAGTTTAAATCTTCAAACAACTTTGTTTATCGCTAAATACATCTTTTAGTGTTAAGATTACTTCCGTTTTGTATTCTCCTGTTGTGTAATAGTAGTTGTGTGTGTTGCACATAACTCTCGTTCTTATTTGCTTCCTTTCCATTTGACTGGCAAATATACACCACGTAGTTTATTGGCCCGTTTATGTTAAAGTTCAAGTAATTCAAATAAATGGAAATGTTTTATGCATTTGAAATGCATAACTGTAATGAATTTGCCCTAAAACATTCTGCGAGTGAATGGACTCTGGCTTTAGAGGATAAAAGTCACAGAAATCAAATTTTTTTGTTTTTGTGGGGGAATGCTGACATTCTTTGTAATTTTGCAACCTTTTTCTTGACAGTAAGCTTATAGCTTCGCAATTTTTTTCTGTTTTTTTTTTTTTTTTGTATATTTTTTCCCTGTGGGTCCCCGATGCGCTAATACTCACATATTTCCCATAAGACAAAGTGGAAGTGAGTGTTTTAGGCTTCAGTTCTAATAACAGTGGATTACTATTGTTGAGCAGGTTGGAGTGTTTTTATTTACAATGAAAGGCTGAGGGTATTCTTTGGGTTAATTTTAACCTTCAAGATGTGTTTAGGTTAGGCAATGGGGGTGCATGTGACCCTGTGGAGCACACTTTTTTTTTCCCTTCTGCGATATTCATCTGCTTTGTTACCCGCTCAACTTTGGATTAATCCACTGATTAAAGCACAAATGTGAAAACTGTGACCAAGTGGACCAATGAAGCAATGCACTGGCTGGAGTGTCTTTGAATCTTCAGCTGGCAGCTTGGATGAACATACGAACACTGGAACATCCTACATTAGTTTCTGTGATGACATGTGTCTACCGACAGAAAATGTTCCACTCGTTCAACAAAAACAAGCTACGGTTTATGACCAAACTGACAACTCAGGAAGGCTACGGAGAATGCCTTTCAAAGAAGGTATAGAGCACTTTGCAAACGGCCCGAAAACCATCTGACAAAGCAAATGAACATTACCAAGAGACGCTATGCAGAAAAGCTGGAAAAAAAAACAGTTCACTGTTAACAACTGTGCGTGGTTGTGGAATGGCCTGAAATCAGTAACAAACTCCAGGAGAGCATCCCCCAAGCAGAGAACAATAAGGAACTGGCTGACGACCTCAATATGTTCTAATGCAAATTTGAAAAGGACACTTTCACACCCAAAACACACTCCCACCCCCACTAACAACGACCTCAGTCACAGTCCGCATGGTGTGTCTCCCTCCTGCCTGAGAGTCTGGACTGACCAGCTTGCGCCATGTTGCTCAGCTTCTGACATGTAATGAATTATTTTGTATTGGTCAAATGTTTCATACACATTTTCCTGGCACATACACTGTATTGGTTTCAAAATTGAAACGTGCCCCCCTGCCCACCGACGATGGAGGGAGAGAAAGCGAGCGAGCGAGAAATTGAGAGAGAGAGAGAGAGAGAGAGAGAGAGAGAGAGAGAGAGAGAGAGAGAGAGAGATGCCTGAAGTGCAGGAGGGGCGGGGGATCGTGGGGGTCGAGGCGATTGGAAAATAGGTGGGACGCGCACGCGCTAATCCGATGATGGTTCCCCGTGCCCGGAGGGAGGGCCAACTCTGCGGTTGAGGGAGAAAAGAAGAAGAAAAAAAAAAGTAAAAGCAAGGCGTTAGCATCTCGAGCTGCGTCGCCGCGTCTCTTCCTCCGGAGCCCTTTGTGTTTGAAACTCTCCTATGTGACGTATCAATAATTCAGTCGCGCGCGCGCGAGCGAGCAAGACGAAGCTCGCCCCCCACCACCCACCCATTGGCCAACCTACAGCGTCTCTCCGCGCGCTATGACTGCTTCTTCCGCGCGCACACACCACGGCCCCGCCGCGCCGCGCGACACGCTCCTCTACCGTCCTGCAAATCAGTGAAAAGCTGCAAAGAAGTGAAAAAGGAAAAGAAAGGACGACGGATTCCGAGTGTCAAGTCGAGCTGGACTTGGTGGAACTTGAGAAAGAAAGGAGAGGAGCTAAGCGCCTGCCGCCAACTCAATTTCCAGAGCAAGCGTGTTCGCCAACTCCCGGCAGAGTTTGCGTCACTTTGGGCCAAAGCTGGGGACACTCTCGCCGCCGTATTTGACGTTTCAAAGTGGACTAAAAAGCCCAAGTCGTCGCTTGTGATTGTGGGTATGTTAGCGTTTTGGCTGCTGGGTGCCGTGTGGCTCGCGGCAAGCCCCAACCCGAGCCGCGCTCAGAACGAGACGGAACCGATCGTCCTGGAGGGGAAGTGCCTGGTGGTGTGCGACTCCAACCCGACGTCGGACCCGACGGGCACCGCGCTGGGCATCTCGGTGCGCTCCGGCAGCGCCAAAGTTGCCTTCTCCGCCGTCCGAAACACCAACCACGAACCTTCGGAAATGAGCAACCGGACCATGGTCATCTACTTTGATCGGGTAGGGAACAAACACTTGCTTTTCATCTTGAAAGTGCCACTTTATAACCAAGCTAATCTAATGAATGTGCTGTTGAGATCAAGTGGAGATTTAATGTCTGACAAGGCAGAAGAAAAGTGTGGCGTTTGTGTTAAAAATGTTGAAGACCAAATACTGAGTAGTGAGTTATCAATTCCATGTCAGGTTAATGTGTTTATTCATTTTATTAATAATGTCTATGAAAATAGTGATCTTACATCAGGACTGCTTCTGCAGGTAAAACACTGCTGTAGTATTTTTATATTGACTGTAATCCCTCATCGGGAAACGCAATTTACATTCTGCACAAGCTGTGCTGCAGAGTCAGGAGGGTGTCGACGGTGCCTTGCTCAAGGGCACATCAACATCTGTCCACAGGAGGACTGAACGTAAAACTGTGGGTCCAAAGCACACACCCTCACAAATAAGCGACGGTTGCTGAAATATGAACTGTTACATGCGTTTTAAAAAATGTGTTGTAAAAACAAAACAAACAAAAATATCCAGGTCAGAATGAATTTGCTGGAAGGACAAATCAGCAACTTCCAGTCGTGGCAGTCTGGTAGTCTAATGGTCAGATGCACAATCCAAGTGAAGCGTGTGTGATCCAATCTTTTTTCAAGCTAATGCAAGTCTGACATAAAAAAAGAAAAAAAAAGCCTTTTTCAGATTTTGGCTTTTCAAGATGTTATTGGCTATGTGATCTGACATGTCATCAAATAATTTAGTGACTGCAGGTCACGGGGGCGAGGTCCTACTTGCTTGCCAGAAAGGTTAATTTTCACTCAAACTGCCGCTCAATTACCCGCCACGGTCCGCTTCCATCTATTCCATTAAACCAGACATTTGGCTGCAGAGATGCATAACTGAAATTTCATTGGGAAGATGATTTGAGTCTTTTTTTTCCCTGTCCTATAAAGTTAAATGGCAAAAAGGGGCAGATAAAGGAATCCATTTTTTTGTCTTCATTGGTGGAATGTGAACACGGTAAGGCAAGATGCGCATGTTGTTTGATTAATCATAGACTTGATCGGATTCCTTGTAACTTGGAAAAATTGAACAGTTTATGAAACAACAGGAAGACAAATAAGAGCAGAAATGTTGTGTGTGGGTGTCAGCGAAAACGTCACACCTTGTCATCGTTTGCCGCACCCTAACGTCAAATTGCAGCAACTAATTGAATCCCACGTCGACAACCTAACGTTCTTATTTCTCCTCTGTCAGGTTCTCGTAAACGTCGGGAGGAATTTCGACGAGGAGAGGAGTAATTTCATCGCTCCACGAAAAGGGATTTACAGTTTTAACTTCCATGTAGTGAAAGTGTACAACCGCCAAACAATACAGGTTAGTGTGTGTGTGTGTGTGTGTGTGTGTGTGTGTGTGTGTGTGTGTGTGTGTGTGTGTGTGTGTGAGTGTGTGTGTGTGTGTGTGTCTGCGCGCATCTTATTTCTCCAGTGAGAACAAAAAATGGGTGGGCATCAAGAGATGATGGTTAGAATCCGAACATGCACAGAGTCACAATCAAATGGGGCGCCTGTAGCGCAATACTGTAGCCGCTACAACTTCAGCACCACGGACAGCACATATTCCCTCCACTTCTTTGTTGCGGTATTCAGATAGTGAGGTTCCACGCCGCACGGCTTTGAATTTACAGGAAAGAAATATCTATTTGCTGGTCTGTTAATACAGCGTTTGCCAATTAGGGGCACGCGTCTCCCTGGGGGTACGTGAGCACATTGCAGGGAGTACCTGGAAACATGTCATCATGTATTTTGCAGATGGATAACCTGTGGCGCAGCGGCAGCAAAATGACAACAGCCGCATGTCAACCCAAGTGTGACATGAACCCATTCATGCACCCTGTAACCAGATAACATGATAAGCTGTCCGCTGTTGTAACCGCTGTCCCTGAATTCTTCAATGGAGCGCCACTTTTTGGTGGTCAGTGTGACAAGAGTATACCCAGCAAAAGGCAGGTTCATTCTTCAATCGAAGTCCAACCGCTGTCCCTGAAAGGTTTTTAAGGGGACTTCTTCAAAGGAGCGCCACTTTTTGGTGGTCAGTGTGACAAGCGTATCCCCAGCAAAAGGCAGGTTCATTCTTCAATCGAAGTCATATATATTTTGAAATATATTTATGTTTGAATTAAAAAGAAGACAACGCCTGAGAATTAAGTGTTCACATTTAGGAAACAAAAGAAAAAGATTTTCATGTTATAATCAGTTGTGTTCCGTTCCACTTTTGGAGACTCATCAAGCCGTACGAGTTAGGGGGGTACTCATGCTATGACAAAAGGTTTCGGGGTAGACAGTTCGGGAACCGCACCCATGCAAAACCGCCTCCCCTTCGTCCCACTTACAACTCACTTCCACCTCATGCGCCCTGCTGCCTCTTTTGATTCTTTTGATGTGTCAAGTGATAGGAAATGTTTGAGCAACCCCTCACCCCCCCGTTCCCTGTGTTAAACATGTGAAATAATGAGTGTTAGTTACAATGTGTTCTTTGCAAATTAAACTGTTGTGTAATTATGCTGTGGGCTCCCTGGAGTTTTGCCGTTACGTGTTGCTACTTAGAACGCTATTATTGGAGTCCCAAATTAATTACCGCGGCATAGCTGCGGCAACAGCGAGGAAGGCGGGAAACATTTGGAGCGGGTTATTGTTGTCTGGCTACGCGCACAAAACACAAGTGAAGGTGACAAATGTGAGGCGCGTTGCTCTAAATGTCATCAAGTTAGTCAAACGGTGCAGAAGATATTGAAATGAGGAAAACAGAGTGATTTCAACTTGCTTTCCAAATACAGAACAGGTGTCGAAGTTCCTCCCATCCATCCCCGCTACCCGGTGTGTTGAAAACTCCCGCTGTTTAATTGCCTGAGAGGCAGTTGTTGCGACGCGCGCAAGAAATGCGAGGCAGCAGATGAAAAACGCACGTTGCAAAGCATGAAGGGAAGGCAGCGAGGGCGCATGAAAAGGAAGGTGGGAGAAAGGAAAGGTGAAAACGAACCCGCGTGGATGGACGGGAAAAGTAATGAACGGGCTAGGAGAGGCATAAAAGGGAACGATGGACACTAAGGAAGGGAAAAGATGCTTTGCGGGGACAATCAGGATGAAAGGATGAAAGTCTGAGGAAGCACTGATCATAAGACACTTTTCCAGTGCAAAAAACTGCTTATTTTGATTAATTGTGAGGGATCAGGTTGTGTTGCGTATTCGTTTTGCCTCAGTGAATCAATTCACTTACTTGCAAAGTAACGCACTTTATTCTTATTGATGTATTTTCAATCAGAAACCAGTCATCTGACGCATGACAGATAACATGACACCAAGCGACACCTCTTTCACGATTAGATTTATGAGGTTCTTATAATTTGGTGGTTTCCTAAAATGCAATATTTAATCGGTGATTAATCTGTTGATTATTTTGTCGATTGATCGATGAATCAGATTTGTTTTTAAAAATATGTTTTCATTGGCATGCTTTTATTGAAAAACAGGATATTATTTCAAATTGATAGTACAGAACACACATTTATGATGATTCATGGGGCGTAACATGTCGGAAAACATACAAAAAGGTGTTTTTCCCCAAAGTACTGTAAAAGCAAATGTTTTATTTTCATTCAACACAAAGATAATCAGTCTGCTTTCATCAAGAGATCAGAAAATAGTGACTGTGGACGAGCAGAAATTCTGAGGATTTGGACAAATTTTAAATTAAAAAGAGGTATCGAAACAATTACTCGATTATCAAATATCTTTATCGATTACTTTATCAATTAATTGTCAATCGACGTTTGCACCTCAAAGAAAATATGTGCAGTGATTCAATCTTTTTCATTACTTAACATTTTTTTTTTCTTTTTTGTCTGAAATTAAAACTCATTCACCTAGGATTGAATGTCCGGATTCTTAAAAACCCAAAATATGTCATTGGCAGTGAAAGAGTTTCAAACAAAGTTGATAAAAGCACTCTTTTTCCTGGACTAAACGCATTTCGGGTCAACATCTGTAAAATAACATGGCGGCAACTCTGGTGGTACTCATACAGGGCACATTAATAATCTGTGATACTTTACTCCAACTTTGCCAGAATACTGGCCTGGTCCTGATTTTCATGTCAGTGCAAGGCTTGCTGCGCTTTTGACAATTTCGCAGACCGGCCTTCTCCAAACATGGTGAGCCGGCACAGCGGAAAGAGAGTCTTGGGGATGCATCCGGCGGGATGACAATCTGTTTGCAGAAAGTCAGTCTAAACCGTATGCCTGCTCAGAGCATGTCAAACACCAGCGTAGGGTAGACAACTGATATAACGATGCATTTCATTTAATGGGTGGGCATGACCAATCAGGGGTCTACGGTGGTCTCCAAGTCCCACTTCAAGGTGCAGGTGTGTTTCTGCCATCTGTCAACGTTAGTGTTTGAAGGTAGTGAGAGGATCCGCTTTGATTAGCCATGATTGATGTCGGCTGTGACCACTACCACAGCGGCGCAGCCCTCCCACTCAGAGATCTGCAAGATTATCAACATCAGATTCACGCCATGCGCCGCACAGGATTCACGCCGGCCATGACACTGGAGTCCATAGACTCTTCTTTTTCACTGCCATTGGCTGCCTGACAGGTCACATTTTTTTTTTCGCAAGCATTTCTACTGTATCCGAAAATCAGCACAGCATGGTGAGGTTACTTTCTGCACATCCTGACCTTTTTGTCCAGTTTCCTCCCTCGGTGGCCTCCCTCATATCCAATGAGATATATATCGGAAAAAGGTTCTCTCAAGTTTAATAAACATGATGTTCTCTCGAGAAAATGATTATTCTATTGTACAAAAACTTAAGGATACGTGTATTACAGATTCTATTGGAATACAGCATCTCTGTGACTGCATCAGCTTCCACATTGACAATGGCGAGTTGAAGACACTATCCCATCCCCTAGCCAAGCCTGGTTACTTTATGAGATTATTTAAATCCAAAGCATTTATGTTGCTCAACATTTAGTTTGAAAGTGGCCAATGCTGCTCGCCTGCGGGGGATGACCATAACGCACACGTGATGAACAATCGCCGTGTCGTCTGGTTTGACTTCGTCTTTCCACATGGAGGGTGGCCTGACAATAGTCCAAAACACGAGAAAAGATCCGTCACAAATCTCACTAATGTTTCTTGAGAGGACAATAATGCGCTGTTAATCGCAATTTAAATTCAAGTCAAATATGTTGATTATCGAAAAATGAAAACCAGTTGGCCGTTTATTTTTGAGCGGAAATTAGTTTATTTTATTTATTTTTTGTTTTGTGTATTTGGAATTAAGCAAAAAATATATATTGTTCATGTTTATCCAAATACTCGATTGTTCGGTAAAATTTTCAGTAGGATATCCGAATGCCAAAATATTCGATAGCCGCTGTCCTAGAATCAGTCCTCACACTCATCACTGCTCAGCGCTTAGCAATGAGACAGACAGGAAGCAATGCTAGACTAAAGTGGCTGGAGTGGCTTGAAAGGGGAAGTCAACCCCCAAATTTTCTTTACAGTAAGATGTTTTCTGAAGCTGAGCAATGATTGGTTGTTACCGGAACCTTGAGCAACTGTGATGTCATTTTCAGTCAACAGCAAGTGGCAAAATGGTAGAGCCCAGTCCATTCAGACAGAACTCACTGGAGTGGGACATTATCCAATGTGTGCACTTAGACTGCTGTTGCGGCTTCCCTCCTTAAGCTCATTATGTGTGTATGTGTGGTGGCATCAGCACAACAATTACTTCTGTAATGAACTTCAGCAGCAGCTGACGACTTCCACGCTCGGCTTTAACTGTCCAGCCTGCATGCGTGTCACATGTACATATTGAGCAAATACACTAATGAGGCCAAATTATACAGTTGGGAGATCGCATGAAAAGGCAACTAGCTGATTGGCTTGAAATAAGAAGAGAAGGCAGGGTCTAGAACTAAGAACTGGTGAAGGGGGTTCCGGAGATAGAAATGTACAAATGGAAACTGTTCAAGCACGAGCTGCTGATTGTCTGCGTTCCGAAATTAATGCAAGCGGAGAGCGCTCTGTCTCTCCGAGCACACACACTCGCAGTGTGTGTTAGGGCGTCAGAGTGAATTTCTGAACGTGCCCCGGTTGAAGGAAGCAAACAAGGACAATACCTCCGCTTCCAACCACAGAAAACTTTTCCTTTTAAATTGAAAATGGCTTACTCTAACTAGAATCTTGCATTGAATGGTGGTAGAATCCTGCTCAATTATTGTGCCTTTTGCTGCTGTCAATTCTGGTTGTAGCGTCAGGGAGTTACATGCTAAACTAGCGATGCATCACACGTTAGTTGCCATGACTACT